ACCAAGAGCCATTGGGTGGTTCAATCCACTTTCTCTTTTCCTCCTCTCTCAAGACCAGCAATACTCCAAGTAGGGACGGCTCCTTCAGCCTGAGTCCCCAATCAAGACACTGTAGAGCAGGCCCACAAGTGACCTGCAAAGTATATAATGTGAACAAGAATTACAACTTTTGTTGTGGTAAGCCAACGAGACTTGGGGAGTTTGCTCTGCAGCATAACTTAACCACTCTGATTCCTACAGGCCCCATAATTTGTTTAAGCCACAATTATGGCAAGACTTGGTTACTGCCAGACAGATGCAATCCTAACTGACAGCCCCTGCTCCATTAGAGATGACTACCATCGTCCCTGAAAGGGCCTAAACTGAGCTAATGGATGTTCTCTTTGGCTGCCAGGCCAGCCTGTCAAGTGATTTCCTGGTAGCCACTTCCCTTGATGTGTTTCACCTTGTTTCCCATCTGGCACCCATGCCCTCCAAATCTCTTCTGGAAACTGTTCCTTATCTAACTTTTAGCCAAGTGGCTTCTGCAAGACTGACAGAGGCAGTCCCTGAGGTGGAAATGAGCTAGCCCTTGTGAGAAACAGTCCGGCAGTCACTGGTTAGGGATAACAAAGACAAAGACTGATTTTTATAAAGTCATGTGGCTGCTGTGTACAGCTGTCATCATTCTCTGCCTGATTATTGTATGTGACGTACTTAGAACAGTGCCTAGCATATAGTAAGTGCTCCCTAAGTAATTATTGTTGTTGTTGTAAGGGAGACAAGAGTGGAAGCAGGGAGGCCTACAAGCAGCTATCACAGTGTCTTATTAAGAGACGATGGCAGCCAGATGTGGTGGCTTATGCCTATAATCCCAGCACTTTGGGAGGCGGAGGCAAGAGGACTGCCTGAGTCCTGGGGTTCAAAACCAGCCTGGGCAACTTGGCGAGACCTCATCTCTACAGTAAAAAAAAAATGGCCTGGCATGGTGGCATGCCTGTAGTTCCTGTTACTTGGAAGGATGAGGTGGAAGGATCACCTGAGCCCAGCAGGTTGAGGCTGCGGTTGGCATGAGGGTGCCACTGCATTCCAGCCTGGGTGACAGAGTGAGACTCCAACTCAAAAATTAAAAAAAAAAATAATAAAGAGGTGATGGCAGCCAGCTGGGTGCAGTGGCTCACACCTGTAGTTCCAGCACTTTGAGAAGCTGAGGCAAGAAGATTGCCTGAGCCCAACGGTTCGAGGCCAGCCTGGGCAACTTGGCGAGACCTTGTCTCTACAACAAATCAAAAAATTAGCTGGGTGTCGTGGTGCACACTGTAGTTCCAGCTACTTGGAAGGCTGAGGTGGAAGGATCACCTGAGCCCAGTAGGTTGAGGCTGCAGTACCTGTGAGTGTGCCACTGCATTCCAGCCTGGGTAATAGAGTGAGACTCCAACTCAAAAAAAAAAAAAAAAAAAGAGAGAGAGAGAGAGAGAGAGATGATGGCAGTCTTGACTAAGTGGTAACAGCGGATGTGATGAGAAGTAGTCTGAGAATGTGGTCTTTTCCTTACTTCTTAGTGATTTATTTAGGATTTTCCCATTTGTGCTTATAATTATATTGCCAAGGTATTAGAGATTTGGTTGTGGTGTTGATAGAGATGTGTTTTAAGGATAGAGTCAAAGAACAAGTTAAGACTAGATTGGGGGTAGTGGTGCTGATAAAAAGAAAGGATGGCCAGGCTTGGTGGCTCAGCCTGTAATCCCAGCGCCTTTGGGAGGCTGAGGTGAGTGGATTGCCTGAGTCCGCGGGTTCGAGACCCGTCTGGGCAGCGAGACCTCATGTCTACAATAAATCAAAAAAATCAGCCGGGCATGGTAGCGCATGTCTGTAATTCCGGCTACTCGGAAGGCTGAGGCAGAAGGATCGCCGGAGCCCAGTAGGTCGAGGCTGCGGTGACCGGAAGCGACTACGGCATTCCAGTCTGGGCGACAGAGTGAGACTCCAACTCAAAAAAAAAAATTAAGGATGATGGATGACTTCCAAGTTGTGTATTCAGTTCTTCAATGTTTGGCCCCTCACCTATCCATGAGCTCTGTGATGGCAAGAAAAAGATCTGCCAGGCAGGGTCCTTTGTGTTCAGCAGGGGTTTACTTGCTTCCCCAGAAATACTCAGAATTGCTGAATTAATTAGTAAAAAGAGTGCCAGAGCTATATATTTTATTTTATTTTATTTTATTTTTGAGTTGTAGTCTCACTCTGTAACCCAGATTGGAGTGCAGCGGCCGCTCCTGGCCACCGTAGCCTTGACCTGCTGGGCTCCAGCGATGCTTCCACCTCAGCCTTCCAAGTAGCTGGAACTACAGGCGCGCACTACCACGCCCGGCTAATTTTGGACTTATTGTAGAGATGAGGTCTCGCCAAGTTGCCCAGGCAGGTTTCGAACCCGCAGGCTCAGGCAATCCACTCACCTCAGCCTCCCAAAGGCGCGGGATTACAGGCTGAGCCACCGAGCCCGGCTTAAAGTCTCCCCTTTAAGTCATTCCTTCTGCCCTGTAACTGGGTCCCCTCTAAGGATAGCTGGAACATGGACTGCTGAGTTTCCTGGGGAGCCCATCTGAAACGCATTTATCAAATCTACCCAACAAATATTTACTAAGTACCCACTATGTGCCAGGCACTGTTCTAGAGGCTGAGGACACAACAGGAAACAAAAGAGACAAAATTTCTGGCTTCCTGCAGCTGCATTCAAGCAGGGGAGGCAGTAATGACTATATCAAAGATGTGATACGCCAGATAGTGGCATGTTAAAGGGAAAAATAAAGCAAGAGGTAAACAGGGAACATTGTGTGTGTGCCTACTAGAGAGTTTCAATTTACACAGGGTAGTGGTCATAAAGGAAAGAACTTTCCAAGCAGAAGGAATAGCACAGGTAAAGGCCCCAGAGCAGCAGTATGTCTGGCATGCTAAAGGAATACGGAGTAGGCGAGTGTCCCAGTGCAGAGTAAGGGACAGGAGGGAGGAGATGAGTTCATACAGGTAGTGGAGAACCAGCTCCTGTAGGACTTTGTAGGTCTGCTTTCTGCCTGTTCCAGTCTCACTTTCTTATTTTCCATAGTGAGGTGGGAGCCAGGGGAGGGATCTGACCAGAGGGGGATCCTGATCTAACTCAGTGTTTACAGGCTCCCTCTGGCTGCAAGTGGGGAACAGACTACGGGGTAGAGACCAGAGTAGGGAGACCAATGAAGAGGCTACTATACTACAATAGTCAAGAGGTGATAAATGCTAGGACTATGGTAGGGACAGAGAAGGGGTTGGAAGTAATAAAATTCTGGATACAATCTAAAGGAAGAACAAAAAGGATTGCTGACAGACTGAATGACCAATGTGTCCTAGTCTCCTTAGGTAAGACCACCAGCGACAAACCTGTAGTCCAACAATGTTAGGTTTATTTACCATGGAAATGAGGGAGTCTGCACACAAAGAGACAGGCTGAGAAGAGAGTCTTATCAAACAAAGAATTGAGTAATTATCTGTTTTGGGGAAAGGGTGAAGCTTAGGTGAAATGTAAATGAAGTAGTGCTTGAATTGGCTCACAGCATTTACAGACTATACCTAAGGATGTGATATGCTACTATACTACAATAATCAAGAGGTGATAAATGCTAGGACTGAGGTGATAAATGCTAGAGAACAATTTTTTTTTTTTTGAGTCGGAGTCTCACTCCGTTGCCCAGGCTGGAGTGCAGTGGCATGCTTACAACCACCACAGCGTCAACCTGCTGGGCTCAGGGATCTTTCTGTCTCAGCTGTCCAAGTAGCTGGAACAACAGGTGTGCACCACCACGCCCAGCTAATTTTTCTTTATTGTAGAGATGAGGTCTCACCAGATTGCCCAGGCTGGCCTCAAACCCCTGGGTTTGGCAACCCTCTCATCTTCACCTCCCAAAATGCTGGGATTACAGGCATGAGCCACCATGCCTGGCAGAGAACAATTTCTAAAACCGTTGCTATGTTATTGGAATTCTATCTACTCTTAAAATCATTTCCTTCTGTGTTTCTGCGTCTCAGATTTTAGGGAACTGTTCTGTATACCTTCCTCCCCTCTTAAACTATGTATGCAGGAGATTAACAATAACAAATTCAGAGGTAGCACAGCAAGGTGGTTAACAGCCACCTTGTATATAAACAGATCAATGTCAGGTCTAGACGGAGAAGTAGGCCCAGGGTCCTGTCTGTCTTCTAGAAGTAATAAAGTTTAGACAGGTGTGGAATATTGTGTTCAGAAACTCCTTATCTGAAGCTCCGAAATCGAGGCTGCTTTTCTGTATTTAAATGACTCTTCCTCCAGGCAAAAGTGAGATGTTTCATTCTTACTGAAATAATTTACAGCAAAGTTTGTGATAGCCTCTGATTTTAGGCAATAAAAGTGTTCCAGTAAGAAAGCAGTAGTCACTCAAGGAAGGGAAGTTCTGCTACTTTACGTCTGCGCTAAGTCCAAGAGAAGTATTTTTTTCTATTAATTCTTCAGCTGGCTTTTTCCATGTCTGCTATTTCACACGGTAAATGGGGGTACAAATGTTTTACAGTCCCAGCTAATTCTGGGAGAAAAGAGTAGGTAAGGATGACGCTAAGGTTTTTAGCTTGAACAACAGGAAGGATGGAGTAAGACATTAACTGAGACAGGAAAGACTATGGAAGGTTTTGGGGGAGACAAGATTAGCAGCTCAGTTCTGGATGTTTTGAGACGGCTGATTCGTGGAGATGGCGAGTGGGCATCAACCTCACTTCTCCCTAGAGATCCCTCCACCTCTTCTGCTGGTTCCGTCACTACCAGTAGTTAATCGTGCACCCCAGCTGTTCCACACATCTGCACCTTTGCACGCGCAGTGTTCACTGCTGGAAATACCGTCTCCTCAAACCTCTAACCCTCTTTTCTAACACCCTCCAGCGTCACCAGGCACAGCTAAATTTACCCTGGGGCCCCTCCCCTCCCAGAGCCCCGCCTTCCTCAAGCCCCGCCTCGCGTTCGCGCTCACTTGTAGAAGCTCACAGGGCGGTTGTCCGCGCCCAGTCGGCCCGCAGTGTTGGAGCAGTTCGGAGCCCTGCAGTACTTGGGCATGGCCGTCCAGCTCCGTTGAGCTCTGTCGGGTGAACTGCCGCACTTTGGTGCTCGCCTGGCGCCGCCGAACCCCGCTGCGCCCGCGAGCTCTCCGCCTGTCTCACGTGACGTCCTTGGCGTCTCGTCACGTGCCGGGGAGAATGCTGAGGGCGCCTGCGTACTAGGCGCACCTTCGAATTACCACGGCTACGCCCTCATCACGTGGTGAAGGAGGAAACGCGAGTACTTTACGCCTGCGCAAAGCCAGCCCTTAGCCGCCCTGGCCTTCCTCACATGTCGGGGGAGAGGCGGCGCCACGGCGCTTGTGAGCCTGAGCCCACCAAATCGCCAGGCCCATGTCTCTTCCGGCATCCCCTACGCTTACGTCCGGGCGACTGCCGCAGCGCAGGAAGTCCCCCTGGCTGGCAGCAAAAAGTAAGGTGTGGATGTATGGCCTTAACCTCGTAAAAGTTAAAACTTGTACGTTCCGGCGAGTGACGAAAACGCAGACTGGGTGAAAAACCCCGCGACGCTGGGTCAAGCATTAAGTAGACGAGCTGTGGCTCCGCCCCGCCGGACACTCCGCCCCGCCTCTCAGCTCCCATTGGTCCTGAGCGCCGCCGGCAATCCTGAGATTGGCCAGCTAGGCTGCCCACCGCGTCCAATGGGCGGCGGCGCCGGCTTTCCCGCGGCTGTTCGCTATTCGAACGGGTCGTGGCGACCGAGGCAGTTAAGGCGTGTAACGGTCGCCCGGCTCTGGCGCGACGATGGCTGCCGTAGGGGCCGGAGGCTATGCGCGGAACGATGCGGCTGAGAAGCTGCCGTCTGTCATGGCGGGAGTTCCGGCGCGGAGGGGCCAGTCCTCCCCTCCTCCCGCCCCACCGCTCTGCCTCCGGCGGAGGACGCGACTCTTGGCGGCGCCCGAGGACACGGTGCAGAACCGGGTGAGGAGTTGCTCGTTGTGGCTTCCCCAGTCGCCGTCTCCCTTGGCCGCTCCTGGTGCGGTAGGCAGATCTTCGGCCCTGCCTTTCAGCCCCCCGGCCGGGTCCCCTCAGGTTGCTCCCCGGCCCCGCCTTGTCTCTTAAGAAGCCCCGCCCCTTTGGCCGAGGCTTCTCTCGCTCTCCGCCCCCTGCTCTCGAGGGTACTGCCCGTCATTCCCGGCTCTGCACTCAGCATTGGAGCTTTCCTGGGTTTCTCTCTGGTTCCCACCCCGCGGAGTACATTTTGCTTCTGCCAATCACGGCCTAGGCCCGCTATAGCTTAAGCTCCATTCACTCGCCTAGAGAATGTCTCTCCGGGCCCTCTTTTATTGACTTGGCCCCAACTTGGTCTTTAAGGTCCGTACCTGGGTTAAGTCCAGGTGTCTACCTGATTCTACCTGCCCTAACCCTTCCTCGCGTCTACCCCACCGTCTCTCACTCTTTGCCTTCTCTATCCTTTTCTCTTACCTCGGTGGGATTCTTATTCCATATTGCCACTCAGAACTGGAGAGGATGTGCGAAATTATTTGTGAAATCTCAGCAGCATTGTCTGGGGAGGAGGGCGTACAGAACAGTTCCCTAAAGCCCGAGACACCGAAACACAGAAGGAAATGATTTTAGAGTAGATAGAAAGACTTCCATTCACTGAGCAGCAGTTTCAAAAATTGTCCTTCAACTCCTTAGGCATAAAGCCTGTTTTTATAAAATGGAGATAACAGTAACCCTACCATGATATTGCAGGGAGATGATTGTAACTGTGACCTTCCTGGCACAGAGTCCAGATAAAAGGTGGATGAATGGTAGCTGCTTGTGGATCTTTTTCCTGCTCATGGCTTTCTGCTGCTCTCTGGTTATACCACCCACACCTGGCTGCAGGGCTGTGGGCAAGTGCCCCCGGCTCACCCCCCCACCCTACCACCCCACTTCCCAGCTATATCTCCCATGTCCTCCCCCTCCCCAACATTCAGTCACACTGGTCTGCTTTCTGTTTTCCTGAGGCTCCAAGTTCTTTTCTGCCTCCCTGGCCTTTGTGTGTTTGCTGAGTTCTCAGCCTGGGCCTTTTGTTACAGTCTACCTGTCTACTTGGCTGCTCCTTTCTCACCCTCAAGCTTCAGCCTGGATATGCTACCTTGAAAGGCCTTCTTGAACCCCCCATTCTAAAGCAGACATCCACCTTCATCTCTCACCCAGGCCCTTATCTTGTATCATGTATAATAGCCATTATCTTGTATGTTTCTAAAGGTGCCTTGTGAGCCTTAAACTATGTAGGATAAGCCGGGCTCAGTGGCTCAGCCTGTAATCCTGAGCCTTTGGGAGGCTGAGGTGAGTGGATTGCCTGAGCCCACGGGTTTGAGACCCGCCTGGGCAACTTCACGAGACCTCATCTCTACAATAAATCAAAAAATTAGCCGGGCGTGGTAGCGCGTGCCTGTGGTTCCAGCTCCTTGGAAGGCTGAGGCGGAAGGATCGCCGGAACCCAGCAGGTCAAGGCTGTGGTAGCTGGGAGCGGCCACTGCACTCCAGTCTGGGGAACAGAGTGAGACTCCAACTCAAAACAAAACAAAAACAAAAAACTATGTAGGATAATAACAATAGCAAATTCAGAGTTAGTATAGCAAGGCAGTTAACAGCACAGACTGCCAATCTTGATGGACCTTAAATGCCTGAGCTTAAGCCTTAATCTTCTTCTTCCATCAAGTTAAGAATTCTTCTGTGCCTCAATTTCCTTATCTGTAAAATGAGAAGAATGATGTAGAAATCCCTTCTAGGGTATTTGTGAGTATTAAATGAGCTCGTATATCTTAAGCACATAGAACAATACCTGGCACATTGCAACTACTCTGTTAATGTTAGCTAATACTGTTGTTTTTGTGTATTTTGGGTAATGTCAATTTATTTTTCTTGTCTGTCAGCACAGAGTTCATCTGACTTGCAAAAGACTTAGTCTAAAAATGACCAGTTATACTAATGCCCAATAATGCTGATCGACAGATAAAATGAAATGTGTGCCACTGCTTGGTTGTCTGTGTTCGAATCCCGGCACTGTTTCCTCCTGGAGAAGTAATGCCTCTGGGCCTCTTTTTGCTCTTGTGTAAGATGGGAGTGATGATGATCATGACTATATCAGAGGGTTATTGTGAATATTAAATAAGTTAATACAGTTATAGTTATTTGAATAGTGTGTGGCTTCCAGTAAATGCTCAATAAATGTAAGCTATTATTAGCCTATGTTTCCCTTTTGGTTCTGAGGCCAAGGACTTGCCTGAGAATTTTTTTTTTTTTTTGAGTTGGAGTCTCACTCTGTCACCCAGACTGGAGTGCAGTGGCCGCTCCCGGCCACCGCAGCCTCGACTTGCTGGGCACCGGCGATCCTTCTGCCTCAGACTTCCAAGTAGCCGGAATTACAGGCATGCGCTACTATGCCCAGCTGATTTTTTGATTTATCGTAGAGATGAGATCTCGCTGTCCAGGCGGGTCTCGAACCCGCGGGCTCAGGCAATCCACTCACCTCAGCCTCCCAAAGGCACGGGATTACAGGCTGAGCCACCGAACCCGGCGAGAATTTTTTTTTTTTATAGAGACAAGGTCTATGTTGCCCAGGCTGGTTTGAACTCCTGGACTCAAGAGATTCTTCTGCCTCGGCCTCCCAAAGTGCTGGGATTACAGACACGAGCCACCACACCCAGTCAAAAGTGGTTCATTCCATAATTATTAGAAACTAGACTATTCAAAATATGAAAATAACACAATTCTGTTTGTCCATACTCTATATAAATTGGTTTTTTTTGTTTTTTTGTTTTTTTTTGAGTGGGAGTCTCACTCAGTCGCCCAGACTGGAGTGCAGTGGCCGCTCCCGGCCACCGCCACCTCGACCTGCTGGGCTCCGGCCATCCTTCCGCCTCAGCCTTCCAAGTAGCTGGAACTACAGGCGCGCGCTACCACACCCGGCTAATTTTTTGATTTATTGTAGAGATGAGGTCTCGCCAAGTTGCCCCAGGCAGGTCTCGAACTCGCGGGCTCAGGCAATCCACTCACCTCAGCCTCCCAAAGCGCAGGATTACAGGCCGAGCCACCGAGCCCAGCTTATATAAATTGTTTAATCAACCATGATGGGGTCTGGCCCATTTAACTTAACTTTGCTTTGAGAGTTGTATAAAATTTTAAATGTAATTGTTCACTTGTTTCTTTACTTGTTGAAACCTCTAGAACCCCTGGTCTGTGAATTTGATGAGGGAACAGACAAATGTTTACTTTTGCTCACTATTGTGTCTCCCCTGCAGAGCCCAAAGTGCTGGCTTTGGAGCCAGACTGCCTCAATTCATATCCAAACCTTACCATTCCCAGGTATAGGATCTCAGGCCTCAGTATCCTTATCTATAAAATAGGGATGATAATAGTGCCTTCTTCCTTGACTTGTTGTGGGCTTCAGGTCTTTCATCCATATAAAAGTACTTAGAAACTTGTTCAGAAGTCACCTTCTCAGTGCAGTACTCTCCCCTCACTCTCCCAGTCTCTTTTCCTGCTTTATTTTCCTCTGCCATCTATTTTGCATATTTGTTCTCCTTTTCTTTGCTCTCCATCCTTATTACCGGTAGAATGTGAGCTCCGGGACTTTTGTCTGTCTTCCTCACCACTCCCTGCCCTTCATGTAGTATTGCGTTTGCCAAAGGTATGTTGAGAACAAGTGTTCACTGCTGCTAGGTAGCATGACCATAGAAGCTCAGTGGATGTGTGTGGGAATGCAGCATGAATTGAATGGGTGACTGAGACAACTGTGCCATGTGGGACCTGCTGGGGCAGGTGCTTCTGACTCAGGCCTTTTCTTTTCAGGTATCACTCGAGAAGGTGCTTGGCATCACAGCTCAGAATAGCAGTGGCCTAACCTGTGACCCTGGCACAGGCCACGTGGCCTACCTGGCAGGGTAAGCAAATGAATGGGTCTCAGTGGCAAATCATTGTTAGGAAATTTGGAGCCTGAAGTCATTGGTGAATCTCTCTGGGCCTCAGAGTTCCCATCTGTAGAATGTGGTCAATGCTGCCAACCTCTGAGGGCTGTGGAGAGGATTCCATGGGCCCATCTGTGTCTAAAACAGTACCTGGCATTTAATAAGTGCTATGAAAACCTTAACTGTGACTCAGAGTGGGAGGTGGCACTGATTCTGGGAAAGACACGTGGTGAAAACCCAAGCTGTGGTGTCAGGTAACCCAATTCTATGTCCCAGCTTTACCCACTCGACAAGCCTCTGCTCCTACCTCTGCAAAAGAGAGCTAGTGATACCCTTTGACTGGGTAGTTGAGAGTTCTGAAGGAGATCCTGCAGCTTTTTATTTCATAAATACTGATCTAGCCTAGCACTTGCCAAGGCTTCCCCTCTCTGGGTTTCAGTTTCTTCATCTGTTAAAATGTGCCTAAAGAGTCTTGACCTCACCTGGCAGTTGTGAGGATTTAAAGAGATTAAGCACATAAAGTGTTTGTTAGCCTAGGGCCTGCCAGAATACTGGCCACAGAGAATGTGTTGGTTTCTATTTAAGAACAAGTTAATAATGTGAGGTGCCCTAGAATTATCGTCATCAACACCTGGAGGAGGAGACCAGCTGAGAGACTGTTGTGTTCAGAGGGAGGCTTGTTTATATGTGGACTTTTCTGTTGGGAATAGAATCATCCCTGGACCCCAACACTCCCTCCAGGTGAGGTACATTTTCCTCTTTCTCCCCAGCTGTGTGGTGGTGGTTTTGGACCCCAAGGAGAACAAGCAGCGGCACATTTTTAACACCGCCAGGTAGGCTGGGGCTGGGGCTTGGGCACAGGGCAGGGCTGGGACTAGGTTCTTGGCACACTTCCACTTACCTATATAGCCTGGAGGTACTCGTGGGTAGTTTACTTACTCCTCCACTCACCTGTTGGTTCAACAACATTCACAGAGAGTTCACTCTGTGCTAGGTGCTGTTCCAAGTGCTGGGAACAGCTAGCAGTGTTCTGTATCAGCCCATTGGGGGAGATAGACTATAAACCAGTCAGCTGAGAGGATTGCCTGAGTTTGAGACCAGCCTGGGCAACTTGGTGAGACCTCATCTCTATTTAAAAAAAACACAAAAAAAAAATTAGCCAGGCATGGTGGTGTGTGCCTGTAGTTCCAGCAACTTGGAAGGCTGAGGTGGAAGGATAGACTGAGGTGAAAGGATGGCCTGAGTCCAGCAGGTTGAGGCTGCGGTAGCTGTGAGTATACCACTGCACTCCAGCCTAGGCAACAGAATGAGTCTCCAACTAAAAAAAAAAAAAAAAAAAAGGAATCTCAGGTGTTCTAGAAGTTGCTAAGGATCTGAGTGCCAGAAATAGGGGAGCAGGTGAGGGGGAGACGGGAACAGGCAGAAGCTTCACTGTGGGCCTTGAGGGGAGAGGGTCATGGAATAACACCAAGTGCAGAGAAATCCCTATATACCTTTCACCATATTTCCAAATGTTAACATTTTACCACATTTGCTCTATCATTCTCTGTCTAGATGCATATTAATTTTCTGAGCTATTTGAGTATAAATTATAGACACGATGCCCCTACATCTCTAAATACTTATGTATTTCCTACCAAAAAAATTATGACATAATTTTTTCTAAGTCATACTACATGCAGAAAAATCAGGAAATTAAAATTGGTACAGCACTACCGTCTACTCCTCAGATGACTCCATTCAAATTTCACCATTTGTCCCAAGAATGTCCTTTATAGCCAAAGGATCCTTCTAGGATCACACATTGCATTTAGCTGTCCCTTCAATCTCCTTCAGGCTGAAGTGGCTCCTCTGTCTTTTCTCGGCTTTCATGACCTCGACACTTTTTTGAGGATTACAGACTAGGTATTTTGTAGAATGTCCAAACGTTTGGGTTTGTTTGATGCTTCCTTATGGATAGATTCAGGTTCTGCAACTTTGGCAGGAATACCTCAAAAGAAATTCTCAGTGCATTCTGTCAGGAGTCTCCTATACTGGTGGTATTCACTTGGGGCACTTGGTTGAGGTAATGTCTGCCAGATTTCTCCACTTCAGAGCCTCTCTATTCCCCTTTGTGGTTATTAAGTATCTTGGGGACCAGGCACGGTGGCTCATGCCTTTAATATCAGTATTTTGGGGAGGAAGATGAGAGGATTGCCTGAGCCTAGGGGTTTGAGACCAGCCTGGGCAACTTGGCAAGACCTTGTCTCTACAATAAAAAAAAAAAAAAAATTAGCCGAGTGTGGTAGCACATGCATGTAGTTCCAACTGCTTGGAAGACTGAGGGGAAAGATCGCCTGAGCCCAGCAAGTCAAGGCTGTGGTAGCCATGAGTATGCTACTACACTTCAGTTTGGGTAACAGAGTCTGACTCAAAAAAGAAAAAAGTATCTTGGGACATCTTTTCTGAGACTATTCAGATAACCTGTTCCTCACCAAATTTTCACCAACCTAGACTTAGGAAAGCTTTGGCATTTTTCAAAAGCTCCCAGGGAAATTCTGATGTAGAGGCAGAACCCAGAACTACTGGTCTAGAGGTCAGGACTCTGCCCATCTGGTTAGGTAATCTTGGCAGGAGACTTCCCTATGTTGAGGTCTCTTCATCTACAAAATTGACTAATGAGAGTCCTGGCTCTGTGGAACATGCATGAAGAATCAATGCAGTGATGCCCTTACAGCATTTGCTGAGGGCTGGACAGAGGTTGGAGCTTGTGACGGGTGGCTACAGACAGCAGAAACCCCCAACAAGCATAGCTTAAAACACAGGGGTATGTTCTTCCTGTACATAATAAGTCTGGAGATTGGTAGCCCAGGGAGTTGCTGTCTCTGTGAGCATCAGGGACCCGATTGCTTCTGTCTTTCTGTTCCATCACACTTAAGAGGTTTCTGTTCTTGAGGTTACCTCAGGACTCAATGTGGAGTCATGGCCTTGTTTCAGGAGGGGAACAGGTGGGGAGCAGGACAAGTGTTCCCTTTAAGGAGCATTTCTGGAATTCTCACGCAGTAAGTCAGTTTATCTCTCATTGACCACACTAAGTCATGTAGCTATACCCCTGTAGCTGCAAGAGAGGTAGAAATGTATTCTACTGGGCACGTTGCCATCTCAATTAAAACCAAAGCTGTGCTTTTGTGGAAGGACGGGTAGGCACCTTCTCCTGTCTGCTGCTATAAGGAGTAACAGGAAGCTACCAGACAGTTAACTTGATAAATATTCTGAGGCTTTCAGAGTCTCACTTAGAGGCATTTACTTAGTTATCTGCATGTCAATTTACTAACTCATGTGAGGGAGAAAATTACTAGACTGTTAGAAACAAAAGTAAAAGGATTAAAAGAGAGTGAAAAGAAAGACTGTACAATCTGGGAATGGTGAATCTTGCTGTAAAAAAGCATGCAAACTAGATTGGGTGTGGTGGCTTATGCCTGTAATCCCAGCACTTTGGAAGGCCTAGGCAGGAGGATCATTTGAGTCCAAGAGCTCAAGACCAGCCTGGGCAACGTGGTGAGTCCTCTTCTACAAAATAAAAAAATTAGCTGAACGTGCTGAGGCACGCCTGTAGTCCTAACTACTCAAGAGGCGGAAGGATTGCCTGAGCCCAGGAGGTTGAGGCTGCGGTGAGCCGTGATCCATGCCACTGTACTCCAGCCTGAGCAACAGAGACCCCAGCTCAAAAAAAAAAAAAAAGCCTTGTAAACTAGTCTGGTCACTCAGTTCCTGTGCAAGCTAGCCAGAAATATCAGGGATACATTTTGGTTGTTTATAGGTTTTCCAGAACACCTTGAGTGTTTAGCAATGGAGCACATGCTGCAGGCTGCCTCTGTGATGTCTGCCAGGGTCCTCCCATCAGTACTACCTTTTTAGTTAGACTAGGTCTGTACCATTTCCTGCATCTGTATTTCTCAGAGTTATGGGGTGAATAGGGTCTTAGGGTGCCTACCTCTGCAGAGGGGAAAAGAAAGCAGAGTCCCTGTACAGGGTCCACCATTTGAGTCTGGTGTTTCAGGGTAGAAGGAACCTTTGCTTTTACCCCATCTTGTTGTGTGCTTTGCTGGACATGCAGACAGCACTGGCTCAGTGGGAGCTGCTCAAACTCTCCTTTCCTGGCCTCTTCTGAGTCTTTTTTTTTTTTTTTTTAGTTAGAGTCTCACTCTGTCTCCCAGACTGGAGTGCAGTGGCCGCTCCCGGCCACCGTAGCCTCGACCTGCTGGGCTCTGGCGATCCTTCCGCCTCAACCTTCCAAGTGGCTGGAACTACAGGTGCGCGCTACCATGCCTGGCTCATTTTGATTTATTATAGAGATGAGGTCTCATCAAGTTGCCCAGGCGAATCTTGAACCCGCAGGCTCAGGCAATCTACTCACCTCAGCCTCCCAAAGGCGCGGATTACAGGCTGAGCCACCGAGCCCGGCCTTTTCTAAGTCTTGAAGGCAGGACTGGGCAGAGTGCTATGAGTTCAGCCAGGCCCTCGACTCAGCAGAACCCATGATCAACTCCTTTCTTTGTCCCCAGGAAGTCTCTGAGTGCTCTGGCCTTCTCCCCTGATGGGAAGTACATAGTGACAGGGGAGGTGAGTCACAGTTATGATTGAGTGGTAAGGTTGGGGAGTGGGGTCTTGGAGCTATTCCTTCTGCTCCCAGCAGGCCTAGGAGTCCCTGGAATAGCTCCTTCCTGGGCCAGAAAAGCCCCATAGCAGATGGGGGCGGTGGCTTTTGAGCACACCCCGTGGCAATGCCGACTTCATCCCTGGCAGCCCCTCTAGCCCTGCCTTGTACAGAGCCCAGCAGCAGTAATGACTCCACCTTTCCCAGAATGGGCACAGGCCTGCAGTGCGCATCTGGGATGTGGAGGAGAAAAGTCAAGTGGCGGAGATGCTGGGTCACAAGTATGGTGTGGTCTGTGTGGCCTTCTCACCCAACATGAAGCACATTGTGTCCATGGGCTACCAGCATGACATGGTACTCAACGTCTGGGACTGGAAGGTAAGAGCCAACCAGTGGGCATGTGGGCAGGCAGCCAGTTGTCTAAGCGTCCTGAGTCTCGGGCATTGGGGGAACTAAATGAAATAACTTGGTAAAGTGCTCATTTACCTGGCAGATATATATTGAGCACCACCCGCTGCATACCTATCCCTTATTGTAAGGCACAGGACAGTCTCTCAGCTAGTGAAATCATTATAAATATTTTAATATTGGCCAGCTGTGACCTTGAGCAAGTGACTTAACCTCTCTCTGTTTCCCCATCTGTTAAATGGATATAATAGATACATTTGGTTGTTTATGGGTTTTCCAGAACATTGTCTTACAACTTACTGAGTTGTAGGTAAGACTTCAGGAGTTAATATGCACTGGAAGGCTGGATTTTAGAATAGCTAGGGGAGGACATGGAGTCAGCAGAAGTGGATACCAAGTCCTAGTTCTGCCCATAAGCTGCTGTGTGACCTGAAGCATGTGACGCCCCTCTCTCTGAACCTGGCAGGGTGAGAGAGAAGCATCTCCTTCATAAGGCTATTAGGAGATTCCATGGGTTGTCTCGTGCAAGGCTCAGAGGAGGGCCCAGAGCTACAATCCCATCTGTAACAGCCATAGGTTGTATTGTCCTTACCTCCTAGCTGTGACTGTCCCCAACAGCATATGTGGCCCGCAGAGCCTAGACTCTCAGAGAATGCTCCAGAACTGACTCTCACTGGGGATGTTTCCAAACCTTGGTGGTATCCTCCATAGATTAGGAGGATGAGAGTGCCAGATACAGGTTTCCCCACAGAGAAGCTCTTGGAGGTCCAAAGCAAACCAACGTGCAGGGATGAACAGGGAGACCAGGGGCTGAGGACAAAGGCACCAACAGTTCGATGGGATAGGTGCTGGCATAAGCTTCTCTGCACTAATTCTAGAAAGACATCGTGGTGGCCTCCAACAAGGTATCTTGCAGAGTCATTGCCCTCTCCTTCTCAGAAGACAGCAGCTATTTTGTCACTGTTGGGAACCGGCATGTGAGGTTCTGGTTCTTGGAAGTCTCCACTGAAACTAAGGTGAGTTTCTATCTCTGCCATCTCAGCCAGGCCCTGGGGGGATCAACATTAGTGACTGGTTGTGAGGATCCATTGTGGCCCTGTTGGGGGTGGCGTTAGGCTGTGTGGACATTGTCTCACGGTGCCCTGCTGTGCTTCCAGGTGACGGGCACGGTGCCCCTTGTAGGGCGCTCAGGCATCCTGGGTGAGCTGCACAATAACATCTTTTGTGGTGTGGCCTGTGGTCGGGGCCAGATGGCAGGCTATACCTTCTGTGTGTCCTACTCGGGCCTCCTCTGCCAGTTCAACAAGAAGAGGGTACTAGAGAAGTGGATCAACCTGAAGGTACCCCCCCTCCCTCTCTCCCATTGGCCGGGGTGGTAGGGAGAATACCATTTGCCCATGATATGTGTCTCCAAGGATCCCCAGCAGTGTCCCTTCTGGTAGCTGACCAAACACATTCTGCTTATGTGACTGTTGGCAAGTGACTCCCCCTCTCTGAGCTTCGGTTTCCACATCTATAACACAGAAATACTGCTGCCTTCTTCACAAAGTTGATAAGGAAATCACATGAGATGATATATGTAAGGCAGTTAGCACAGTGCCTGGTACCCCAAAATGGGGTCAGGGTTACAAATATTTTCCCATCACTTTGATCCAGGTCACATTTCTTTTCACTGAGCACCCTTGGCTGGTGCATTTTTTTGAAAAAAATCTAAGGTACCATTGACTTAAGAATTTTTCAGTCAAAAAAGACTACACACAATACATAAAATTTTTTAAGATGCTGTATCAGTAACTTTGCTTCTTTTCTTTAGCATCTGGAGCTTTGAGTCCAAGCTATTTTCCCTTTCTGAGATCAGTTGCCCCATTGACTGTCGGCAGGAGCATTGTGGTTTTCGCACCTGTTCCTTGCTTGCTCTCATGGCTCTCTTGCAGTGGTCACCTTCAAGGTTAATGGCATGCGAAAGAATTTCGGCCGGGCTTGGTGGCTCAAGCTGTAATCCCAGCTCTTTGGGAGGCCGAGGTGAGTGGATCGCCTGAGCCCGAGGGTTCGAGCCCCGCCTGGGCAACTTGGCGAGACCTCATCTCTACAATAAATAAAAAAACGCGCGTGCCTGTAGTACCAGCTACTTGGAAGGCTGAGGTGGAAGGATCGCCAGAGCCCAGCAGGTCAAGGCTGTGGTGGCCAGGAGCGTGCCACTGCACTCCAGCCTGGGCGACAGACTGAGACTCCAACTCAAAAAAAAAGAATTCCAAGATGTATCTGTCTTTCCTAGTTGGTTAAACATCAGTTTGTCTTTTTTCATTTTAATCCTCTTACTAGAATTTAAGCAGCTTTTAAGCAAGTCAGAAGCTTTCAGCAGATAAATGTTTAGCACCCGAACACTAAATGAGGCATAAATTAAGTCTCTGTGGATTTGGAAAAACTCCCTTAAGCTCTGTCTAGAGGTCTGATACTTCCTGATAGAATAGACAGTCCTTATATACTGTAACTGTTTTTTCTATAACCTTTTGAAGTTGTTTTTAAGCAATAGTGAATAAAATTTAAGCCTAAAATTCAATCCCGTTACTGCAAGTGACCTATCTGAAGTTGCAGTCTGCTGAACAGATGTTTTCCATGCACGACTATGTTTCCCTGTAGACAGCAATGACAACTGTTTCTCAATTCGTGCCTCTGCCTGCCTGCTGGCACATGTCTTTCAATAGTGTCTATCTGCTATGTCCTGATTTCAAAAATGACTACATGTGCTAAAATGCCTCTCTTAAACCCCAGGAATTATAAGCCGTCTTTGGAGGCCTAAGGCTGCTGTGTTGGTCCCCTCTGCCCCCACAGGTCTCTCTGTCTTCTTGCCTCTGTGTTAGCCAGGAGCTCATCTTCTGTGGCTGCACAGACGGGATAGTCCGCATCTTCCAGGCCCACAGCCTGCACTACCTCACCAACCTGCCCAAGCCACACTACCTTGGGGTAGATGTGTCCCAGGGCCTGGAGCCCAGGTACTGCCCAATGGGGGGAAAAGGCGGGGTCTACTCAGAGTCTGTCAGCTGGAATCCATCTGTGATTCCAGATCTGTCTGCCTTTCTGGCCATCCTACAAATACTAGTCATTACTCTCAGCCCTGGGTATTATCACAGTGAACAAAGCAGAAAAGTCTTTGTCTTCCCAAAGCAAGCTCCAGAATAAGAAATGAGACTGGGTGGGGAAGAAAGAGTCAATAAGCAAACAAAAGAATAAACAGAATACTTTCAGATAGTGGGAAGTGCTATGAAGGAGAAAAACTCAGAGCAGGCAAGACTGTAATGGGATGTTTTCATCCATGTGACTGACATTTCTTAAATGGCTACTAAATGCCAGCCCTAGGCTGGAAGCGGGATATCACTATAATGAAGCAGCAAAATCGCTGCCATCATGAAGTCTGTAGTATGGTGCGGGGGCGCCACAAAAAGTACACAAACAAGATCATTTCAGACAGTCACAGATGCCTCGGTGAAATAAAGTAGCAACTCAGGAGGGAGAAGGTCTGGGAGAGGACCTGGGGTGGGCTGTGTTGATCCGCTGTCTGGAGAGAAGGAGCCAGCTGTGTGGAGAGCTGGTCCCAGCAGCAAGTATAAAGGCCATAAGGGAACAACACACCAGGCTTGTCATGTTGCAGGGATAGCAAGGGACTATGTGGCTGGAACCCAGTATGTCAGGGGAGGGTGGTAAGGGATGAGGTCCAGTGGGAGGAACTTGTATTGTAGTCTGTTCTAAAGTCAGTGAACAGCCCCTAGTGGTTTCAGGCATTGGAGTTAAGTGACCAGACCTTGCATATTAGATCCCTTGGTTGCTGTGCTGAGAGTGGACGGAAGGGCTGAACTGTGGCTTGTCTTTAATAAAGTCTGTTTTAAGGTGTAAGGGGCCACCTAATCCGGGGATGTTGGGTGTCTGGGGCTGCCTCTTTATGGATTGATAGACCCTGGATCCTGGGTGCATTTTCCAAGAGAGAGCCTGAACAGTGCACACGAAGGAAGAGAGAGGGTGAGTGAGCAATCAACGGAAGGTGGCATGTTCTGGTACCCAGGCTGCCCTGCTCTGCTAGCTTCTGTTGTGTGCTGTGTGGCCTTGAGGAGGTCACTGCACCTCCCTGTGCTTCAGTTTGCTCATCTGTAAAATATAGTACCTACTTCTTTCAGTAATTGTGAGAATTTATTGGAGCTAAAACTCTCAGCCTGGCACACAGTAAGTGCTCAGTAAACTGTAGCCTTTGTAGGGAGGCCCCAGGCCAGGGGTCTCTCCAGCCCCCTCACACAGGAGTTTTTGATCATGTGTTGGTGAGGCAAAGGAGAGAGGAGGCTTGAGGTGCATACCCATTATCCTTCTATGCTCAGGAGCTTGGGTTGAGTGGAATGAAGGGTGATAAAAGTTTTTATTTCTTTCTTTTTTTTTTTTTTTTTTGAGTTGAAGTCTCACTCCGTTGCCCAGGCTGGAGTGCAGTGGCATGCTCATGGCCACCCCAGCATCGACCTGCTAGGCTCCAGCGATCCTTCCGCCTCAGACTTCCAAGTGGCCAGAACTGCAGGCGCATGCTATCATGCCCGGCAATTTTTTTTTTTTTTTTTTTTTTTTTAGTTTATTGTAGAGACGAGGTCTCGCCAAGTTGCCCGTACTGTACTCTAACCCACGGGCTCAGGCGATCCATTTGCCTCGGCCTCCCAAAGTGCTGGGATTATAGGCTGAGCCACTGAGCCCTGCTACTTCTTTCTTATCTATTTATTTTTCATCTCTCCAAGTGTGATATCCAATGGAGAGAGAGATGCTAATAGGAGTAAAAAACTCAAAGGCTCTTGGGGCCAGGCAGAAGCTTCTAGTTTATAACCTCTATATTAGAAGCAAAGGACGAGAGAAGAAAGAGAAGGAATTGGGATAGGAGAGATGGACAGACACAAACACCCTGAAGGATGGCATTGCCATGCTGGAAGCAGTGCCAGTGTCACTAGAGATGGTTGTCACTACTCACAGTGACTGATGGTGATTGATGACCCTTGTGGCCTTGTCAGCTTCCTCTTCCACAGGAAGGCAGAAGCAGTCTACCCAGACACAGTGGCCCTGACCTTCGACCCCATCCACCAGTGGCTGTCCTGTGTGTATAAGGATCACAGCATCTACATTTGGGACGTCAAGGACATCAACAAAGTGGGCAAGATGTGGTCAGAGCTCTTCCACAGCTCTTACGTCTGGAACGTGGAGGTAAGCCCCTCTCTCCTTCCCTTCACCCCTACTCAGTCTCCATTAAGGGGTTCAGGTGGAGGAAGCTTCCTCAGAGGTCGGGGAATCCATTTAGTAATTCCTTCCAAAGATACTCATTGACCCCTTACTATGTGTCAGGCCTTGTTCTAGGTGCTGGAGACACAGCTAGGAAGGAAACAGACAAAAATCCTGCCCTCATGAAGCTTATTTTTGGGTAGGAAGTTAAACCTGAAAGCATCATCAGTATATAACATGCCAAGTAGTGTGTTATATAAAACCTCTCTGAAGAAAAATGAAACAGAAGGGGAAAGGGGATTGAGGTGTGCTATTCTAGAGAGGTGAGTTCAGGGAAGGCCACTCTGGGATGTCACATTTGATCAGGACCTGCAGGAAGTGAACGAGTGAGGCATGGATTTGTTGGGGAGAGTAGCAAGAGCACAGACCCTGCAGTAGGAATGCCTGTCCCTCAGAGAGCTTGCTGTCAGAATCATTTGAGCATTTTACTGCTTTTTTCTTTTTTTAAGTGTCGGAAGTTTTTATTTTCTGAGAATGAATTTGTGGGTTTTAAAAATGAAAGATTTTGTAAGTATTCCTTGCATATACGACAGCTGGTGGTCGGCCGGGTGCGGTGGCTCAGCTTGTAATCCCAGCACTTTGGGAGGCCAAGGCAAGAGGATTGCCTGAGCCGGGGAGATTGAGACCAGCCTGGGCAACTTGGTGAGACTTCATCTCTACAATAAATCACAAAAACTAGCCGGGCATGGTGGCATGTGTCTGTAGTTCCAGGTACTTGGAAGGCTGAGGTGGAAGGATCACCTAAACCCAGCAGGTCGAGGCTGTGGTGGCCATGAGCATGCCACTGCACTCCTACCTGGGCGACAAGAGTGAGACTTCGACTCAAAAAAAAAACAGCTGGTGGAAGAATTGTATTCTACTGTTTTTTGGTTTTTGGTTTTTTTTCCTGAAAATGTTTATCCTAGAGAAATTATATTTTCAGTGGCCAAATTCAGGATTATGAGAAAGAACTTTGTCCTTTTGAATAGGCATAATTCAGCCCTTTGGCTCTGCTTGAATCCATCTGCCTTCATGAATCTGATGTTTTCTTGACAGCACTTTTTTCACTTAACAAGAATGTTACTTAATCACTTTTTTTAAATTATGTATAAAATATACATTAAATTTTTAAAAATTTGGAGGAAAAGGTGAAATATACAGTAAGACTCTACATGATGACCTCCCTACCCCCAACCCTGCTCCCAGTGTTATCAGTTTATTATATGTCCTCTCAGTTCATTTTCTTTACATCCACTCATTGTTTATATGTATGTGTGTATATATATATATGTATATACACACAAAAACACATGTAACACACACACATAAATATATCCGCTCAATGAAAGTATCTGTAAATGGGTCTTTTTATCAGTTCTGGAAAATTCTCAGCCAGTATCAATTTGGGAATTGTTTCTACTCTATTCTCTCTCTTCTATAGCTCTAATGTTCTATGTCCAGTTTTTCTATTTCTTTTTTTTTCTTTGAGTCAGAGTCTCACTCTGTTGCCCAGGCTGGAGTGCAGTGGCACGCTCACAGCCACTGCAGCCTTGACCTGCTGGGCTCAGGTGATCCTTCTGCCTCAGCCTTCCAAGTAGCTGGTAGCTGGAACTATAGGTGTGCGCCACCTTGCCCAGCTAATTTTTTGATTTATTATAGAGACAAGGTCTCGCTAAGTTGCCCAGGCTGGTCTTCAACCTCTGAGCTCAGGCAGTCCTCTTGCCTCAGCCTCCCAAAGTGCTGGAATTACAGGCTTGAGCCATCATGCCCAGCCCAAAACTATAATGTTACTAGACTATATCTTGGCATTGGTTTTTAAAGGTCAATATAGTCTTGAATTAAGGCTTTTAGTATTTTTTTCTTTTTCCTTATGTTTGTTTTCTTTGGGGACTTCTATTATCTGTGTATCAGATCTTCTTTGCCTAGCTTTAATAGTAGTCACATCTCTTTAATTTCTTTCATTATTATTATTATTTTATTTTTTTTTTTTTTTTTTGAGTTGGAGTCTCACTCGGTTGCCCAGACTGGAGTGCAGTGGCCGCTTCCGGCCACCGCAGCCTCAACCTGCTGGGCTCCGGCGATCCTTCCGCCTCAGCCTTCCAAGTAGCCGGAATTACAGGCACGCGCTACCATGCCCAGCTGATTTTTTGATTTATTGTAGAGATGAGGTCTCGCTGCCCAGGCGGGTCTCGAACCCGTGGGCTCAGGCAATCCACTCACCTCAGCCTCCCAAAGGCGCGGGATTACAGGCTGAGCCACCGAGCCCGGCTTATTATTTTTTTGAAAGCAGGATTTATGTATTTATTTATTTTTATTTATTTATTTATTTTTTGAGTTGGAGTCTCACTCTGTCGCCCAGACCAGAGTGCAGTGGCTGCTCCCAGCCACCGCAGCCTCGACCTGCTGGGCTGCGGCGATCCTTTCCGACTCAGCCTTCCAAGTAGCAGGAACTACAGGCGCGCACTACCACGCCTGGCTAATTTTTGATCTATTGTAGAGATGAGGTCTCGCCAAGTTGCCCAGGCGGGTCTCAAACCCACGGGCTCAGGCAATCCACTCACCTCAGCCTCCCAAAGGCGCGGGATTACAAGGCTGAGCCACCGAGCCCGGCTGAAAGCAGGATTTATTAAGAGGACATAAAAGCTCCCACAGTGGGAGGGAACCTGAGGGAGTTGCCCTCTTTCATTATGTTTATTTTTTTTTTATAGAGATATCTCGCTGTTTTGCCTTGGCTGGTCTCAAATGCCGCCTTCAAGTGGTACTCCTGCCTTGACCTCTCAAAGTGCTAGAATTACAGGCCTAAGGCACCATGCCTGGCCTTCTCTTTGATTTTTAATAATTTTTTCCTTTTCACTGATTTCTTTTTTTTTTTTTGAGTTGGAGTCTCACTCTGTCACCCAGACTGGAGTGCAGTGGCCGCTCCCGGCCACCGCGGCCTCGACCTGCTGGGCTCCGGCGATCCTTCCGCCTCAGCCTTCCAAGTAGCTAGAACTACAGATACATGCTACCATGCCCGGCTAATTTTTGATTTATTGTAGAGACGAGGTCTCGAAGTTGCCCAGGCTGTTCTCGAACCCGTGGGCTCAGGCAATCCGCTCACCTCGGCCTCCAAAAGTGCTGGGATTACAGGCTGAACCAACGAGCCCGGTCTCACCTATTTCTTAATACCTTTTTGTGTTTCTTCACTATTAGGTTGTTTCCGTTTTTGGCTTTGATTTCTAAAATGATTTCTCCACTTATTTCTAATTCTTTCTTTGAATTCAGTCACCTTGTGTCTGAGCATTTCTAAGTTGTTTTTCATATCTTCGAGCATTTAAAAATTATCTTATGCCTTATTTTGAAATAATAAGTTATAGTTTTTAATCTGTATTGTGAGCATGTGTTTCTGGTATGCTTTTCTTTTTTTTTTTTTTTGAGTTGGCGTCTCACTCCGTCGCCCAGACTGGAGTGCAGGGCACGCTCCTGGCCACCACAGCCTTGACCTGCTGGGCTCCGGCGATCCTTCCGCCTCAGCCTTCCAAGTAACTGGAACTACAGGCGCACGCTACCACACCCGGCTAATTTTTTATGTATTGTAGAGATGAGGTCTCGCCAAGTTGCCCAGGCGGGTCTCGAACTCATGGGCTCAGGCAATCCACTCACCTCAGCCACCCAAAGCGCAGGATTACAGGCTGAGGTACCAAGCCCGGCTTTTTATTTATTTTATTTATTTATTTTTTTAAAGAGTAACTATTTTGGATTTGACCTGGGTCCTTTTGTTGTTGTTCATTTTTATATGATAAAAATTCAGTTTTTCTGAATTTTTAGAAGTTGGTATGCTTCAGGACAGATGTTCTTACTTCACAAGAAAGAACTCTATCTTCTGTTATTTTTATAGTGTTTTGAAACAATGGCAGCCTCCTTTCTAATACTGCCTTTTTGGTTCCTATTTATGTGTGATATCTCTACTTTTATCAGACTCTCCTCTTTATCTCTCTTGTTCCTGTTGTGATCAGTTTTGTTTCCACTCCCAGCAGCTTCCCTTTGGTGTGGGGCTTTGACCTGGAAGGACTCTGGCAGGTCAGTTTTGAGAGAGTTCAGGGCCTTGCCTGCTCCTGTCCCTTTAGGCCTCACAGCCAACCCCTTGCCCTCAGCTACTACTGGAGTGATTAAAACCCTCCCAGTTTCAGCTGATGTTCAGTTTGGCTCATGTGCTTTCCAAAGAATGCTTTCGGTTGGCCACATTGGGGTTATCCTGTTTTTAGGTCTGTCAGATGCCTCATTCCTTCTTTTATTCTTCCATATGCATGTTGATAATGTAGGTCTTGTGACTGATGATGGTTTGTTTCTACTTGCTTATTTTGGGGAGTGTATGGGGATATTTTGTCACTCACTTTTGCTGTAAATGTTGTCTGTGGGTTTTTGGTTTTGCTATCTGTTGAGCTTTTTCTTATGTGGGGATTTTGGGAGATTTAAAAAAAAATCTATGCTGCTACTATAATTTTCCCAGAACTCAATCTTCTGTATTTTGAAATTTCTTTAGAAGTTGTCATTTTGTCCCTTCATTCTAAATAATGTCTGTAGGCCAGGTGCAGTGACTCACACCTCTAATCTCAACACTTTGAGAGACCTAGGTGAGAGGATTGTTTGAGCCCAGGAATTCAAGACCAACCTGGACAACATGACGAGATCTCATCCCTACAATAAATAAAAAGATAACCCAAGTGTGGTGGCGCACACCTGTAGTCCCAGCTACTTGGAAGGCTGAGGCGAAAGGCTCACCTGAGCCCAACAGATCGAGGCTGCAGTAGCCATGTGCATGCCACTATACTCCAGCCTGGGTAACAGAGTGAGACTCTGACTCTAAATAAACAAACAAAGTCTTTAGTTCTGTCTTTCAGTTCATTTGATTTTCTTCTCAACTGTGTCTAATCTTTGGTTTTTAATATGTTTTATTGTTCATTTCTAGAAGCAGTTCTATTTTGTTCCTTTTTAGCCCTGATTGGTTAATCTTTATAATTTCTGGTTGGCTACATACTTTTATCTTGTCAGAGTTATTAAACATAATTTATATTCTGTCTGATAATTTCAGTTTGTTTGTTTTTGAAACATAGTCTTATATGGTTGGCCAGGCTGGACTTGAACTCGTGGGCTCAGGCAATCCTCCTGCATCAGCCTTCAGAGTAGCTGGGATTACAGGCATGTGTCACCATGCCTGACCTGATAATTACAATATCTGAAATCTTGTTAGACTCTTTTGTTTCTGCTGCTTCTTGCTTGCGATACTTGGTTTCTTTCATGCTTAGTGATTTTTGGCTAAGCTGCTCATTTCCCTTTGAAATTTATTTGTGGGGATAGTTTAAGGCCTGGGCTGAAGGTGGAACATGGGTGGTATATAGTATCTTTTTTAATGTAGGAGTTATTGCATTATCCTGTTTATCTTTAACTTTTTTTTTTTTTTAACCAAACTGCAGCACGATATCATAGTGCTGTCATTCAGATGGTTGTAATGAATCACATTTTTGTCTTATTTTCTGGGAGCTGTAGGTGTATCCTGAGTGTGAAGATCAGAGAGCTTGTTTGCCATCAGGATCTTTTCTGACTTGTTCCTCAGACAACACCATTCGCTTCTGGAACTTAGATAGCAGCCTCGATTCTCACTGGCAGAAAAACGTCTTCAGCAATGTGAGTGACTTCTTGTGAATCACCTTTCAAGAAGAGCAAAGACCTACTTTTAAGCTAGGCTGCAGGGACAGGAAGGAGTCTTACAGAATGCAGACATAGACTGGCTTCACTAGGGGCAAGAACTAGGAACCAAGATGGGCCACTCTCCGTCCCTTCCTCGTGTTTCACTCACTCTCCTTCTCTCTCCTTTTGTGGTGGCGTGATCTGTCTTCTCTGATTCTCTGCCAGTTGGCTTCTGGTCTCCAGATGTGTGTGGACATGGCCACTCCAGGCATCCTAACACACCCAGCAGAGATGGAATTGTTTCTCAAGTCTTGAGTCAGAACTCCCTGAGAGAACCCCTGATGAGAGAGCCCCATGCAGGGCTTCCTGTCTACTAGCTGCCACGCAGGGAGGCCGCAGGTGGGGGTGCTGGTAGGATGCTGGAGAGAGCCATGATGGGAGGTTGGGGAGAAAAGTTTGCTGAAGAAATTTTGGTTAGTATTGCTAGTTCAGCGAGGGAGCTTCTCTGGGGAGCTGAGATCTGAATCACGCATTCGTTTATTCTGCATGTACTTGTTAAGGTCAGTGCCAGGTGCTTTGCTACAAGCTGGGAACATAGAAGTGACTAGGACCCTTCTTCTGCCTTTGTGGCACATATAGTCTAGGGGAGGAAGACAGTGAACTGATAACTGAACTAATTATCTGTAACTACAAGTATGATAAGCACCATGAAAGAAAATGTGCAGGGTGCTAGTAGGATATATCACAGTATCATGTGATCTTATCTGGGACATCATGAGCAGCTTCCTGAGGAAGAGATAACAAACTTGAGATTTGGAAGACTGGGAGGAGTAAAGAGAGGAGGGGAGGGGATTCCACACTTAGGGAATACCCTGTGCAAAGGCCCTGAGGTGGGAAAGAGCTGGGTGAGTTGGAAAACCTGAAAGAAGACAGTGTGGCTGGAATGAAATAGGCCCTTGATGCAGGATTAGGTAGCAGATACTGCACTATTGTTTAGCTACACACAACAGAAAAACTCAAAACAAGTAAAAGTTTGGCTTTCTGGCTCATACAAGTAGTCTGAGGTAACCAGTTCAGACTGTTTTGGCTGCAGGAATCCTTTAGGGACCCAAGGGCCTTCCAGCTCTCCACTCTGTCATCAAAGTGAGTGCTCCTTGTCCTCTTGACTGTTGGGGCTCCAGCAATCAAATCCAAGTTCTAGGCAGCAGGATGAGGAACAGGAGGCAGAAGAGTGCTTGCTTGCTTTCTGTCTCATGCCCAGAATGTATTCACATGCCCTCATCTAGCTGCAAGGGAGGCAGGAAACCATAGTTGTTCTGATTGGTGAAGCTCCCAGCTCAGAATCATAGTTGTATTACTAATGAAGAAGGGGAGACTGGTTGTGGGGAGGTACAGAATTTCAAAGGTGCTTCTGAGCTCCTCACACACTAACCTCAGGCCTCTTCTTCCTGCAGACCCTACTGAAGGTAGTGTATGTGGAGAATGACATCCAGCACCTGCAAGACACGTCACACTTCCCAGACCGGGGGAGTGAGAATGGAACACCCATGGACGTGAAAGCTGGGGTGCGAGTCATGCAGGTCAGTCCTGATGGCCAGCATTTGGCTTCAGGCGACCGAAGTGGAAATCTGAGGCAAGTGGACCCTAGCGGTATCTAGTGTACACCTCCTAGCTCCGACTTGGGTTCTCAGAGCAGTGGGAAGGAGCCTTGACCTGGGCATCTCCAACTGCCCATCAGGAATGAGGGGCTGTGACTAGCAGTCCGGTAATCAGCCACCCCTGGGAACTTAAACAGGACTTAAACAGGAACTTAAACAGGAAACCATAGTTTTCAGAAGGGCTGAGATCAGGGTAACTACTGGAGCCTTAGCAGCTGGGATGTGCAAACTTTGTCTATAGAGTAGACAGGCAAACTCACATGACTCTAGGATACAGTGACACTTTGACTGGCCATGTGGTACCAATGCTGAACTGTCAAGGAGGATACCAGCTGGAGAGGGTCCCGGTGGCCCTGGGAGAGAGGCCAAGAGGCTGGTCATTTGAGGTGTCAGGCTGTTTACCCACCCTGTACAGGTTTGTCAAGATGTTACCAGCCCAACAGGTACTGGCAGAACATCAGCCCTGTCATGTTTAAGATGACAAATGACAGTCAGGCTCAGTGGCTCAGCCTGTAATCCCAGCACTTTGGGAGGCCAAAGCGAGTGGATTGCCTGAGCCTGCAGGTTCGAGACCAGCCCAGGCAACTTGGTGAGACCTTGTCTCTACAATAGATCAAAAATTAGCTGGGCGTGGTAGCATGCACCTGTAGTTCCAGCTACTTGGAAGGCTGAGGAGGAAGGATCACCAGAGCCCAGCAGGTCGATGCTGGGGTGGCCGTGAGCGTACTACTGCACTCCAGCCTGGGCAATGAAGTGAGACTCCAACTCAAAAAAGAAAAAAAAGATGACAAATGACTGCTGTGACCACCTGGGTGTTGAAGTTCTTGGGAGATGGAAGAGACTGGGATGGGGACTAGAGAACACGTGCCTGCAAAGGGACAACCACCACGCAGCACCAGACCCAGAACAGGCTCCAAGTTATCATATCTTCCCATTGTCTAAGAAGAGCATAAAGTGTACATTGTGTTTTCTGTGAAATTCTGCAATTTTTAAATATCAGCAATTGTGTTGATATCAGTCACTGCTTGAGGCCAACTTAGTATGTCAGGAGACCGTTCATGTTGACAGGCTCTGCTAGGAGTGGCCAAACAGTAGGAAGAGCTAATTAATATGGGTATGACACTCTTCCCCTATGCCAGGCGCTGATATGGACCCTCTGATATAAGTGCTTTTATTAGCTCCATTTTTCAGATGGGTTAACTGAGACAGGAGAAGCTGAACTGAGATCACATGGGTAGAATGGAGGAGCTGGGTCTACCTGTTGACTAATTTCATTTGGAGAGAATGAGGAAGGTCTAGATTTGAGACTCTTTAAGAATGGAAAATTGGGGCCGGGCTCGGTGGCTCAGCCTGTAATCCCAGCACTTTGGGAGGCCAAGGTGAGTGGATTTCCTGAGCCCGTGGGTTCAAAACCTGCCTGGGCAACTTGGCGAGACCTCATCTCTACAATAAATCAAAAAATCAGCCAGGCGTGGTAGAGCGCACCTGTAGTTCCAGCTACTTGGAAGACTGAGGCGGAAGGATCGCCGGAGCCCAGCAGGTCGAGGCTGTGGTGGCCGGGAGTGGCCACTGCACTCCAGTCTGGGTGACAGAGTGAGACTCCAACTCAAAGAAAAAAAAGATATGGTTGTACATCCCTAGACTATGTGGCCATGTTAGGGGGTTCCTATATTGCCTACTTGGCTGTCCTGACCTTTTTTTTTTAAGCAGTGACAGAGTGCCAAGGGCTGGGGTATGGGAGCTTCTGCCAGAGTACAGAGGGCAATGTGTGTGTCTCCCAGGATCCATGAGCTGCACTTCATGGATGAGCTGGTCAAAGTGGAGGCCCATGATGCTGAGGTGTTATGCCTGGAGTATTCCAAGCCCGAGACAGGTGAGCCCACGGCAGTTGGTAGGGGGATGGCAGGGGCGTGATCCCTCTGGCAGAGCCACAGAAAGGACTAGCTGATGTCTGGTGGGGCTGTGAATGACAACTGGGAGTCCTGTGTTTAGTAAGGGACCCTGTTGCTGGACTCTGAGACCAGAGTAGCTGGGACTTCAGAAAGCAAGACACCTGCAGGCCGGACTCAGCTTGACTTCCTCACCACTGGTCCTGGCACTCGCCACAGCACCCAAGCTAAAGAGGTGAGTGTGTGAATGAGTGAATGTATGAATGAGCCCGTCCTCTGCTGGAGGAGATAGATTGTTGGACATTATTCTGAGAAAGTTTGACACCGACAGAAAAACTGCCAGGACATTGTAATGAACACTCACGTACCCTTCACTTAGATTCTTCAAGTTTTTTTCTTTTAAATCCTATCCAACACTCTAACTGTATGTATGACTTTACCTGCTTTCCTTCTCTGAGAATGTAGCAATCAACTAACTCACTTTCTTCTACTGTACTTTCATAACATGCTTCTAACACCAGGTCTGTGGGGGTTATTTCCACACATCAAGCAATCAGTTCCACATTGAACATAAGTTGGGTATCTTCTAACTCAGCTTTGACACTATCTACCTGGGCAATAGAGTGAGACTCCAACTCAAAAA